AGATATTTCATTTTGTGTTTTTTCCTGCTTTACAGGGCTAATCCTGTAAGGAAGGCAGGAAGGAACCATTCTGGTGTTGTTTCTAGCCTAATCGTTATTGCCCTCCTTACAGAAACTGCCTCTCTGGTTAACCCTTATTACACTGTAACAGCTAAGGTGAAGCACCCATCAACGTGCGTGACATTGAGTTGGCCACACCGAGCCACGCCTACCCAGCTGGTCATTAGGGCAGAGAAACGGTTGCTAAATTATTTGAATCCCACCACTGATCCATTTTTGAAACTGGGTGGGAAAAGTGTCTGAACAGAGAAAAAGTAGGCAGCCAGGTAGCCTCATTTCTTTTCCTAGTTTGAGTCCTCATAGGCTCCAAGGAAGCTAAAGAGTTCATAGAATCCAGAAATAAATATCTGGGTTTCCCAAAACATTTCACAACTGCTAGTATGCGTAGCTCTAGCTCAGGGGTGTCAAACTCACGTAGTCATGGCGGTGTCACATGACATATTGGGACTTTCCCCCTTTGCTAAACTGGGTGTGGGTGTGGCCAGCATGTGACACATCTGGCCCACGGGCCAGGAGTTTGACAGCCCTGCTCTTTCTGCACTCTGTGGCCTATTTACTTGGATTCACTGTTTCAAAAAAGCTGATTCAGATAGTCTTCAACTGAAAACCATTTGTTTAGTGACTGTTCAAGGTGACAATGGCACTGAAAAAAGTGACTTATGACTATTTTTCACACTTATGACCATTGCAGCATCCCCATGGGTCATTTGTGATCAAATTTCAGACGCTTGGCAACTGGTTCATATTTATCACAGCTAAAACATCCTGAGTTTATTTGATCACTTTTTGCAACCTTCTGATGAGAAAAATCAATGGGAAAGCTATATTCGGTCAATAACCCTGCACTGCATCACCCTTGCAGGGATTCACTTAACAGCTGTGGCAAGAAAGGTTGTAAAATGTGGCAAAACTCACTTAACAAATATCTTGCTTAGCAACAGAAATTTGGGGCTTAATTACGGTCATAGGTTGAAGACTACCTGTATATGATGTGCTTCAGGAGATAGGAATTAGATTAATGCTGATATTTGAAATTCCTAAGACCCACTATCTCCGTGATGGCGAACCTATGGCATGAGGAGCCGTTTGTCAGGGCACGTGAGGCATTGCCCTGTCAGCTGGCTTCAGCCTTCTTTTGAGGCCATTTTTCGCCTTCTAGAGGCTTCCCTGAAGACTCCGGAGGGTGAAAAATGGCCCTTCAGACACTTCCGGTTTGGCCATAGGGCCATTTTTCACCCTTTGGAGCATTCAGGGAAGCCCCCTGAAGGCCCCTGAAGGCTCCGGAGGTTGAAAATCAGGGAACCTGGAAGTTTAGGAATGGTGACTTCCAATTTGTCCATAGGGCTGGTTTTTGATCTCCGAAGTCTTCAGGGATCTTCAGGAGGCTTCCCTGAAGACTCCGGAGGGAAAAAACCAGTCCTATGAGCAAACTGGAAATGACTTCTGGTTTGTCCATAGGTCCGTTTTTTGCCCTCCGGAGCCTTCAGGAAAGCCTCCTGAAGGCCCCTGAAGGCTCCGGAGGGTGAAAATTGGTCCTACAGACAAACCGGAAGTCACCATTGCCAAACTTCCGGGTTCCCCGTAGGTCCGTTTTTCGCCCTCCAGAGGGTGTTTGGGGGAGGCTGCTTTTGCCCTCCCCAGGCTTCACGGTGAGGGCGGTGTGTGTGTGTCATGCGCATAGCATTTTGGATGTGGCACGCTGGCGCATGACCCCCCTGTGCTCCCCCTGCTTTAGGCACAGCAGCCAAAAAAGGTTTGCCATCCCTGTACTATCTGGTCTCTTGAAGTGGGAGCAATTGAGCACAATCTCTGTACCACATGACTGTTAAGAATTCTATAAATTGATCAGCAATACTGGGACATTCCTTTCTTTATGAGCATTAATTAGAAGAATTTGTGTAAAGTTGAGGGGCTGACATGTTTCAGATCCACCATATTGAATTTTGACACTTTTGCTCTTTCCTCATAATAATTGGGTCTTTTAAGGCTGAGGTAGATGAAGAGTTGAAGAAAGGAAAGGGGAATGAAAAGAATACTGTTCAGAGTACTATTTGGTACTGACCACAGCTGAATTTGCTTTTTTTGAGTATAATTTATGCTGGCACCGAAAAAAAGATCCGAGCTTGGGAATATTGTGCAACATATATTGATCTGCAAGCATATGCATTAGTTAGAGCGTTAATGAACTCTTTATCAGCTTTGTGCAATTATTTAAAGATAGC